CAAGTACTTCTATCATTTAAGCGGGTAGAACAAAAGCCATCATAGTAGTTATTTGAGAATTTGCTTACTAGTCATATGGAGCACAGCATCCTGTAGATGTTGTCCGACAGTAGTTCCGCTCCGACTCTGCTGGGGTGCAGGCCATCAGCGCGAAAAGGCCTGGGGCGCTCCCAGGAAGATTCCAATCATTAACAAAGAGCAGTTTCTGTTCTTTACACCATGACAATAACCATTAATTTAAATCAAAATGTCTACTGAACCTTTCGTGTCCTCGTCGATACGTGGGAAGCGGTCCTGAAGTCCCTCTTCAGTGTCTCCGTCTGCCGCAGCTTGGTGTCGTTAACCCCGGCGTGAAGCATGACCGCTCCGGGGCTCTCGTCGCCCTTCAGGATCGCGGGTATCTGCGCAGAAACATCGAGAACCAGGGAAACAGTGAGTGTGCACTTTACCTTCGACTAACGTAGCACGGATGTGCCGGACGATGGAATCTCCGACGATCACAGCGTCGCGTTCCGGAGGCGACGGAGGGGGAGAGCTCCTCAGCTGGGCCTGCTACTTCACCAGGTCGCGAATCTGCTTCTCCACGGCCTCCAACGTGTCCTCACCTGCACTCAGTGGTAGACAAACAGCCGCCATTAAAGCAAGTAACAGTGAGTAAAACAATGGCAATGTGTGTGAATAGAGCAGTGGTTCTCAACCCGCGGCCCGTCACGAATTCAAATGCGGCCCACCGTGCTGAACACAATTTAAAAAAATACTTTCAGTTTTACAATTCATTTTAGTTTTTAAATTAATTTAAAAATGTACTAAATAAATATAAGCTATAGCCTAATGTTTTATGTAAAATAATTTTGTTTTTCATATATTATTTTCAGACATGAGCAGTACTCGCATAGCCCAATTAACGTTATGCATTTAAAGTAACGACCAAGTGGCCAGCGGCAGACAGTGAGCATATGTTTGATCAATTTAGCCTTCTCAAATCATCACGACTTAACTAAAATAAAATCTATAGATATAAAACAGTTCAAGCATATAACAATGTTTAAACGTTAAACCTAGATAAATGTGCGTTATATTCAATAGTTTGTGTGGAGAGTGGAAGCTGAAGCGCGCTTTGCAGGACATAGAGACGCCAGCGCGATCACTTGCATTTTTTTTCAGTGGATACACCGTCATTTTTGCTCATAAAGGTAAGAATAATGCATCATTCGAAACTGTAAAGGGTCTACTTTTATTTGTGTGCACTCACAATATCAACAAAACGTTGTGCTTTTATAAAATAAAGAAATCAAACATGATGCGCTTCCTGCCGTCTCGTCTTGAACAGGAGCGCTTCACAAAAATGAACCGAAACTCAGCGAATACATGCCTCACAGACATGATTAATATATCTATAGAAAGCTTTAAATTACTACTTAATTAAATAAAATAAATCAAAAACAAAAACTTATAATCATAATCCGTAAAATGGAAACTTCTCTCTAAAGGCGCGTCTAATGAAGTGATGGCGAATCAGGATCGACAACTTCATCCTTGGGACACCGACTCAGAAAACACTAGTTTATTAGTAAATAATTAAAATATCTCCTTACTGTTTCCTCCTGACGCGTTTATGGTAATTACTTTTGCCGATTCTTTGCGGCAGACTTAAGCCTATTGCGTGCATTTGAAAGCAGAACTGTTCAGCTGCGCTGACGGCACGCACCATACATGCTGCTGCGGGACACTAAACACCGTCGAGCCGCTCTTGAGTCACGGCAGCACGGTCTCGTGTTGTTTCCACCAGCGCGGCAATCTTTTTTCATCACTAATTGATTGATGTCTAAAATATAAAAATAAGGAGAAGCCTAAAACAGGCCCAAGGCCCGGTGTAGTGCCGAAATTTGCACCCTGCCAGATTATGCACCCCCTAGTATTGGTAGGTTTAGGAGTAGGTGTGGGGGTGGGGTTGGGATTAGGCAATCAGGTAGCGACTTCAATGAGGGGGTGCATAATCTGGCAGGGGTGCAAATTTCGGCACAACACCGGCCCGCGTCTGAACTATGACGTGAAAATTGTCCTGAAGCCCGGCCAGAGGGGCGTAAAAAAGTCGGGGCCCGTCGGGCCTGGGCTGAAATGCAGGGCTCTAGCTCTGATCTTGCACACAGAAAACGATTTGACTGAAAATTTATCAGAAGAGATAAAAGAAAGATAGTGGTCATCTGCGCAATTCAGAAAAAAGGCGGCTTTTCTGCATTAGGTATGTTTTTTTTTCTTTCTTTTTTTTACTCTTTGTACAGCAGTTATTGTTCATTCTAAATTAATTTTTTAATGTAGAATATGTGTTACATAAATACATGAAAGGTAGAACATATAAAAAAGTGCTTGTGGCTCGTCTGCCAGTGGGTGCCCCCCCTGCATAAAAGTGAAATATGATATGATTGTGCTGTTACTCCTTTCGAGCCGAAGTTCACAAAATTGGGTGTTATTTATGGGGAGTAGAATTATTTATTTATTTCAATGAATGTAATCGATTAGATATCATAATATTTAGGCTATAATATTATAAATCAGGTTGGTTTGTATTGCTGACATAATATGTAAATGATATGCATGCGGCCCGCGAGACTTGCACTTGGATCATAGTGCGGCTGGTGGAAAAAAAGGTTGAGAACCACTGGAATAGAGTATTAGCAATGTACGCGAGATTAGCAGCAACCACGCTGGCGATGCTAACGGGCTATAAGCTAATAGTGGACTCGGGAAATCAAAATAAAACTAGTAATAACAAGGTGCTCTGATTGTTTTTGTTGTAGAATACAATAGAAGATATATTCACACGTTATAGAAATATTTTAAGAAGAAAAAAATAGACGATACATAATTAACTTGACGGAGCTCAAACTCAAAACACACGGCAGCAACAAACAGGAAGTGACGTGTGTCATCAGTAGAGGTCTAAATATTTCATCCATTGTTATTAAAGGAGACATATTATACTCATTTTTACAATATGTAATATAAGTCTCTGGTGTCCCCAGAATGTGTGTGTGAAGTTTCATCTCAAAATACTCCACAGATCATTTATTATATCATTTTGAAAATGCCTATTTTGAGTGGAAGCAGAAACACGCTGTTTTTCGGGCCTGTCTCTTTAAATGCAAATGAGCTGCTGCTCCCCGCCCTCTTTTCCAGAATAGAGCTGTGCCATTACAGCTTGTAGCTGCTAAAAAACATCTGTTTTGGTTCTGATTATCATGTTTATCGCGCTGAAATCATGCGTTTTAAACCATATGAGTTTAAACTTCTGATATACGTTTTTTTTGAGTGCACACATCCGAAGCACACGTACAGAAAGCGGCTGTCACAGGCATGTGAGTACTAAACTAAGTTCTCATTCACACACAAGTTACAAAAATAGTCGGTTATGTCTGTGAAGGTAAACAGCTGGGAAATAAATTGCATGTATGTTTATTTTAGATCTGTGTGGCAGCAGCAATATACATTAAATAAATCAATAAATCCACTGCTCTCTTGTCTCCTCAGAGGCTGGGACTCTATATAGTGTTCTGTGTTCGTCTGTGCAGCCAATGACAGAACAGTTAGCATGCTTTGCTCAAACTTTCGCCATGGCATTAGAACTGGTACACCGTTGTCGCTTGCGAAAACACAATAACAGTGTAAACTTTTACAGATTAAGGGGTGGTAATATTATAATTAGATCCCTTTGCCACGTCACCAAGGGTGCGAAATCAGATGCGCTTGTTTTCTCAGATGCTTGCAGAAAAAGGCTTACCAAAACAAAGTTACTGGATTAATCTTTTTCACGTTTCCTTGGTTGGTAGATGCACTGGGGACCTGATTATAGCACTTAAAACCTGGAAAAGTCAGATTTTCATGATATGTCACCTTTAAGGATGTATCACACTGATCACTTCTGTATTTTCTTTGATATATTGATCTCTGCTACCACTGAATCTAGATCTGTCTCTGTCAGAAAGAGATGCATTAACGAGAACACTAGTGTGCTATTTATGAAGGCTTTATCTTTAACACCAAGCATTTCTGCAGATCTTCTCCTTGATTCCTTTAACTCAAAAGTTAAGAATGTTATTGATGATATTGCTCCTGTAAAAGTCAGTAAGAAGACTGGCAGACAAAAACTCACCTTGGAGAAATCAACAGCAGTACAGAGTATGAAAAGACATTGCAGAAAAGCTGAGCGGAT